GATGAGACTCATACGGGAAATTACCCTCTGCCTCTAATTGAAGAACATTGAACATTGAACCGAACTAGTACGCAGTATGAACACCAGAATATTCGAAGTCGGTTTGTATTACGCGCCGAAATTGTACAAAGCAATCGATCATGTAATGAAACAACAATGTTCAGTTTATACGTAATCATCACATCCACCGCAGCTTGAATGTAGCTCGGGGTTGTTGTAATCAAATCTCTGTGAAACGCAAACGTTCGGATCTTCAAGCATTTTCAACAGAACTCTCGGAAAGTTCATTTGAACGGTTTTCATCTGAAATGGACTTAGAAAGAGAAGGATTAGGAAATTCAGATTTGAGAGTATTATAAATTATTTGGTCACTATGTCTGCGATGGACTGACCCGTCATCTAAGTCAAGGAGTTGATACATTGTTTGACCAATCTGATTCAGCACTAATCTTCTTGAAGGACGTAGATCATTTCCACGATGATAAATCACTTCAGCTGATTCCAGATTGAGAAGGTTGGTACGTAGTATACGAGTTTTGAATAATTTGGCCGGACTGCTCCCCGTAGCAGCATAAGTAGAGTTCCTGTACTGCACGAGGAAATTATCAACACCCCTCTCTAAATCAGTGGAAGTAGAGATGTGGCAGGATGCAATTGCACTTTTTAATGTCCGGTTGAAGTTTTCTGCTGCACCATTTGACTGGGTGTCGAGGTGGAGTTAGGACATGTCGACAGCCAGTGGATTTCAACCAATCCGTCACGCTATTTGCTGTGAAGTGACTACCATTGTCAGTGACGACAGCTTGTGGAACACCCTCCCGGCTGAACGTCTTCCGGAAAGCAGTTATAGTGAATTCTGCGTGTGGTGATGTAGTGAAATAAACCTCAGACCAACGTGAATAAGAGCCAATAATCACTAGGGTGTGGTATTTGTTTAGGAAGGGCCCACAGTAATCGGCATGCACTCGCTGCCAGGGTTCAGAAGACATTGGCCAAGGAGTCCACTTAGATGGTTGTGTGCGAGCTTTGTGGATGCAGTCAGTACATGATCTGGCTACTCGACGCAAATCACTGTTAAGCTCTGGCCACCAGCAAGTCAAACGTGCAAGTGATTTCACCTTCTCAAAAACGAGGTGTCCCGAATGCAAATCACTCAGCGCTGCGGAGCGTAAAGATGGAGGAATGATTCTTCGGTCATTGAGACATAATATTCCATCACAAGTTACTGAGAGTTCTTCACGGAGTTTATAAAACTCTGGGAACCGGCGCTTGGTGTCAGCTCGCTAACCGTGTTGGACATAAGAAATAACTGCATGGTAGTACTTCTTTGTCTCTCGGACTAGGTCGGATCAACTAACAGGAAGTGGTTGTGTCAGCAAACAATCAGATGTACCAGACTCCTCTGACAAGGCATAACGCGATAAATAGTCCACGGGTTGAATCAAATCAGCCTTGCGATGTTGAATATCGTAAGAATAACCGGCTAGTGTGACGCTCCATCACTGTACTATGGCCGCTGATGACTTTGCCAGAGATCGGTGGGGATTGTAAATGAAATTCAATTCCTCGTGGTCCGATCTAATTGTGAAATGTGAGCCATATTGGTATTTGTGCAATCAAGTAACAGCCCAGTATACTGCAAGGGCCTCTCTATGTGTTTGGGAGTAACCACGTTCAGTATGAGTAAGTCTGCGATAAATGCATTGAACTGGATGAATGTTCTGCTCCAACACTGCTGCAATGCGAACTGGTGATGCGTCTGCAATTACTGTCGAATGCGCTTTGGGTGAAAAAGCATGTAAAACTGCATCACTGGAAAGAAAACTTAGTAAGCTTCTAAGGGTGACTTTATGAATACGTGTCCATTGAAATGTTCGCTGTGAGATAAGTGTGAACAATGGTTCTGCTTTTGTAGCAAAATCTGGAATGAATCTAGAATAATACTGAAGTGAACCGAGTAATGAACGAAGTTCTTCAACTGACTTGGGAGAAGGTGCGTTAGAAAGAGAAGAAAAACGAGTCGGATCAGGACGGAAATCATGTTCATCAACAAGAAAACCCAAACAGGAAAATTTTGGTGTAGAAAAGGTACACTTATTTGCGTTGGTAGCAACATTATGGATATTGAACAGTTCAAGCAGTAAGCACAGAAGCTGATCGTGTAGTTCTTTGGTTGGTGCATGAACGATACTGTCATCTTGGTAAGCTGAAACCCCATCCAAACCAGAAATAAGAGAATTCACAACCTTTTGAAACATAGCAGGTGAAACACTAAGACCAAATGGCAAAAAGTTATAACGAAGTAGACCGAACGGTGTATTAATTGTGGTCAGTGCATTAGAATTCTCATCAAGTGGTAACTAAAGAAATGCATCCTTTAAATCTAATTTGGAAAAGAACTTTGATCCATGAAATTGATGGAGGATGTCTTCCGGTTTAATGGTTGGGCAGCTAGTTTGCTTTAAGTATCTGTTGACTGTGATACGGAAATCCCTACAAATTCTGTGTTTTACCATCACGCTTCAACGAAACCACAATAGGGGTAGCCCAAACAGAAGAATCCACCGGGGTTAATACACCCTTCTCAACTAAATCGTCCAAAACTTTCTTCACGGGTTCAGGGAGACCCAGTGGTATAATTGGACGTTTCAGAAATATTGGGGAACTAACAAATTCCAAGTGAATTGGGGCCATTTTAATACCACCCTTATTTTTGGAGCATTTAAGAACCAACTGATGCAGTCGAGACTGTTGATCATCATTAGAAAATGAAAGAGAAATTTCCATGCGTTTCATGGAATCGAGGCCAATAATAGAAATGTCGGAATCAATAAAAAGAAAGAAACAATTGAATGTGTGCTGTTTATCATCAGGAAGAAGTAGTTCACACAAACCCAAAACAGGAAGGTTATGGCCAGTTATACCTTTAACCAAAATGTCAGTTGTGTTTAGATACACACGTGGTTCCAAACGCTGAGGAACAGTCTTTGAAATAAACGAATTCACACTACCTGTGTCTGTGATGAATGAATGATGAAAACAATGATTGACTGTGAAGGTACAAGTAATGTGCTGAGACTGGTTAGGGCTGTTAACGGATAAAGCAAGAGACTGAAAATCGGTAGACAAGCATGAATCAGGGACTGAGTTCTGTGTCAGACAGTTGTGTGTGCTTCGACAAACAGACTGGATATGCCCAGATTTACCACACTTGTGGCACTTGGCATTGTGAAATTTGCAAGTCAGTCAAGAGTGTCGCCTACCGCACGATTTGCAAGAGTTCCAGTGGCAGACGTTATTATTTGTAGGTTGTGCGGACCTCAGATTGTGATTAACAGCTCCGTTGACACTTTTGAACTGCCGCGTCTGTTGAGCTTCAAGCGCTGAACTACGATTGTGACTGGACAATACTTTTGGCTCCTCACGTAAGGCAGCACGTACATCCTGATATTGTTCACAGACCACCTTTTCAGTTTGAAATGTACAGTTTGGAATCAACAATAACTGCTGCTGTAGCTCAGAACAGTTAATTCCAGCAATGAGTCCATCACGGAGCAGATTTTGAAGCTGATCTTTGAAATTACAGCGCGCAGCCTGAGTCTGCAGCTGAAGAATGAAGTCTCGGACGGACTGATTAGGATTACGAGCAAGGCAGTGGAATTTCACTCGCTCAGCTGCTTCGAAGTTCACTGGATGGAAGTGTTTTAGTAACAGATCCTTCAGTTCTTTATACTTCAGTTGTATTGGGGACTCTGGGAATGTCAAGGTTTTAATCAGCGCATAAGCTTCCTTCCCAACAGCTGAGAGAAAATGTGCTATCTCCTTCTCGCCATTCACACTCTTGCGGGTGAGACAAAAAATCTCAAAACGCTCCAAATAATCTTCCGCATAACGTGAATTCGAGTGAATATCAAGAATTTCCAAGTTGCAGGTGTCCATAATGAGATAAAAACCGGCCGCGACTCCAACTGTGGTAGTCTGTACTTGGTATCAGGAATCGAATCGCAATAATCCGCGTAATTAAGCTCCAACCGAACTAGTAAGCAGTATGAACACCAGAATATTCGAAGTCGGTTTGTATTACGCGCCGAAATTGTACAAAACAATCGATCATGTAATGAAACAACAATGTTCAGTTTATACGCAATCACCACAACATGTTGACAGATATGCCCAACCATTTGAAGTGTTGATAGATGCTTGCCTCGCCGCAAACAGGACACTTAACATGTTGCATCCGTTGTTTTCATATGCGATAAAATGTTCAACGAGATAAGGATGACATTTTATTAAACCGAATAAAATTACAATTTTTTGCATGATTACTGAAATAATTATCGGAAGTAATTTGATAATGCAACGAAAAACAATAACAATGAAGTAACTGTATCACAAAATTTCACTTACTATCCGATGGACGTTTGTAAATAAGAACTTCTGCATAGAAACAGCTGAAGACAACCCAGCAGAAGATAAGAGTCATTCAAGCTATCATTTCCCGCATCAAAATTAAAACAAAATCAGAGAAGTTTGATTCCCAAAATACGTGCTTTTAGAGTGATTAAAGAATAAAAATCAGTTATCAGACAAAAAGCAAATATGACGAACGCATTTTAAATGATAATAGTGTTTAATAACGAACGTAGGCGAAATAGCTCACAAATAGCTCATTGTAGCCGATCAATGCGCTACGCTGTGCTATCTGAGTGATTTCGTTGGCACGGTGAACAAGAATTTGCCTAATATTGAACGCCTTTGTCAATGCTGGGTCAAGCGTAACGATCGCCAGTCAGACGTAACGTAGAACGAACACTGGGGTGCGAAAATGAATGAAAATGCGTAAAAATGGGTTGACGCATTGATGTAGTTAGCACTCGGACTAGTAATTCGTATACGTATCGGATTCCGCGCAGTTTGTTTCAGATGTCCCCCCAATGCTGGAGGATACATTTTCGTCGTGAAGAACGGCNACGGCTGCACCCTGTCCTGAGCCACTAATGATTACCACTTTTCGGAAGGAATAAGAAGTCCGTCGTGAGGAACGGAAAGGACCTCCGTGGAGTCTGCAGCTATCCCTACCTGAGAAAAAGAACACAACCAAAGAAACATTTAGATTTGTTATCTTGGGGAGTCGCCTTTGGCAAACCCGAATATTTACACTTAGGCTCCAGGTCAGAGAAAGTTGCACATTAGTGCGTTTCTTATAGCATTTTTTCAAATCCTTTACCTCTTTGACAATGAGACATATACTTTGATAATATAGAGATAATTTTAATGGTAGTAAAGTAGTTGATGAATCTATAGCAGTTA